CTGGCCACCCGACGCCGTGCGCCGCGGGCTGCCGTTGGGGGCTCGGCGCGCGCACTCTCTCTGCTAGTCTTCCCCTCGCACGGAGAACCTGGCCCTGCCCGCCGTGACCAATACTTAACCGCACGTCCCCAGGGCTGGGACTCCTGACACACCGAGCTTCCCGAGATTGTTTTAATAACGATGACCAAAAAATGCTAGTGCCTGTCCACTCTCCCAATGTCCCCCCGCCTAGAAGAGGGGACGGGCACGTGTCCTAACTAACCTCCGGCTCCCGCCTCTCCCGGGACGCAGGGGTTAAGGTCAGAATCTCCAGCGGCCTCTCCCCTTCCCCTCCGGAATCCCAGAACTGCGGTCGCCTCAAGGACACACGTTCCCTGTGGGGCGTGCCGGATAACCAGGAGCTCCGCCCCTTACTGACGACGCTATGACGCAACCGCAGCGACAGCCAATGGGGCGCGACGGTCGGGATGACCGGAGGCGGGAGTTCTGGAGAGCGGAGCGGAAGTGCTTAGAGCCTGGCGCCCTCTTTTCTCCCAACGGTGCTGCTGCTTCGCGATTCCCGGCCGTTGCCTGCGCGCGCCCGCGGCCCAGCTGGACCATGAGCCGGCCCAGCCGGCTGCAGAGGCAAGTTCTCAGCCTGTACCGCGAGCTGCTGCGCGCCGCGCGCGGGAAGCCGGGAGCCGAGGCGCGGGTGCGAGCCGAGTTTCGGCAGCACGCCTGCCTGCCACGCACCGACGTCCTACGCATCGAATACCTGTACCGCCGCGGGAGGCGCCAGCTCCAGTTGCTGCGCTCCGGGCACGCCAAGTCCATGGGCGCCTTCGTGCGCCTGCGGGGCGCGAGCGAGGAGCCCCGCGACGCCTGAGGAGGGTGAGGATTCGAGGAGCCCGCTCGACGGCGTGTGGTCACCGAAGACCCCGCGGGATGGACGGTGACAGGCTGAAGAGCTCACCGGATGGCGCAGGGGGACGGTGGGGCGGGGGGCGCTTGTCTGCGTGGGTGGTGGGACCGGGGAACCCACCTGGTGGGAGGTGAGAAGTGTTGAGAGACTAGCTCTGTGGATTGAGGTAATCGGAAAGCCCTCCTGGCGACGTAGGGTCCAAAGACCACTATGATGGATGACGAGAGATGCTTGACCTCGTACGATTCGTGGTAACTTGTCGGACTCCCTCAGGAGAGCTCGGGGCGGCCTGGGTCGCCGGCTGGCTGGACTGTGTCAAGCTGAGAGCTACTTAACTCTAAGGCATGAGGAGCCAGGACGCCCCCCACTGGACCAAAAGAGACTGAAACACCCTCTCTTGACCCCTGGCTCCTGAACTCCTCTCTCTGTATTTAACTGATAACAGCGGACTTTTTTTGCTGAGGAATTTGAGAAGATGCCCTGATGGACGGTGAGAAGCCCCAAATCTCTTTGGAAAACTTTCACCCCATTAATTGCAACAGCTAGGACTGGTGAGGAAAGGGCTAGGGCTGCTATCCCGGCTGATCATTTAAAGAACCCTCAAGACCTCTACACCTACTGGTTCTGAGGGGAAGCCCTGACTCCTGCGCCCTTCCACCCTCAGGACTGCCGAACAAAGGGAATAAAGTTGGGGATGTCCTTATTTCCCTGTTGGTGATCTTAAAGATTTTATGTGTTTGAGGATTTTTAAAGAAACCCACACATGCCAAGAAGTGAACGTCTGGGAGGGATGGGTGATGGGAGCTGTCTTCCCCTCTGGAGCCCCTAGATTGGCAGGCTGGTTGAAGCAGCATAGATCTCTCCCCTGGGCAGATTCATGGGGCCCACACTGGTTTGACCCCAAAGAAACACCAGTTGACTCCTTAATGGGGAGTAGTGAGGCAGGAGAGGAGATGGTGGAGCTGAGACCTGGCTGGTAACTTCTGAGGCAGTGGGGGTCTCAGACCTGGTTGAGGAGTCCACCCTCAGCAGCAAGCTGGGCTTTTTGTCAGCAAGGCCCAGACGTGGGGGAGGAGAGATGGACCTATAGGCCACAGGCAGGCCCCCTCCCATGTCCCAGTATGGACTTGTTCTGGACATTCTTTGGGGTACTGCATTTGCAATCCTGAGCTGTATTTGCACCCGGGTCGGTTAAATAAGTGGGAAACAGATGAATTCTTAGCAGATGAAGTTGATAGGAGGAGGAGGACCTTAGGAAAGGAGCCCAGACCTTAAACCAAAGGGAGGATGGCAGAAGAGAAAGTCTCTGTCCTAATCCCAGTGGGGGTGGCAGGTACCCAATAGTTATAAAGTGGGGTTGAAATTTGAAGAATTATAAGGACTTTGCCAGAAGGTAGGGATAGGCTTCTAAGCAGGAGGTCCAGTGTGGGCAAAGGCCTGGAGGCTTTAAGGGGGAGAAATGCAGGGTCCCGAGTGGGACCTGGCATGCCCCAGGGTACAGGCTGTTTGGCTTCTAGTTCTGCTTTGTTTCTGGTTAGTACTCACCTTACCTCTCAGGACCTTTGTCACTTTGTTCATCTCTTAGCCTCAGTGTTTTTCATCAGGGTAATCCTGTTAACCCTGCCCTGGCTCTATCTCAGAGTAAAAACTAAAGTCAAAAGTGGCTAATAGGGTCCTACCCATCCAGCCCCCATTATGTCTCTTCTGCATCTCCCACCTCTCCCTCTCGCTCACTCTGGACTCCATATCTTGCGCCCTAACAAGCTTCAGGACTGGAGAACTGTGAGAAATAAATTTCTATTATTTATAAGCCATGCAGTCTGTTATTTTGTTACAGCAGCCCAAACAACTAAGACACATCCTTTGACAAGTGACCATTTATTACATATGTCTGGCTGTGTACTCAGATTGGGGGGGGACCATTGACATAGTTGAGCACCAAGTAAGGTGTCCTGCCTAGTCGGGCAGGAGAACAGCAGGGGCCCCCCGACTGGGGCAGGAGCAATGTGGAACCCACCAGAAGAAGAAAGAAGAGGAGGAAGAGGAGGAAGGAGGTCAGGGGCCGCCTGGATGCAGGAGTGGGGGCTCTGTGAAGGGAAACACAGTGTTAAACACACAGTGGACTGCCATCACGAGCCCTGTCCCCTCCACCCCCAGACCCGTCTCCCAGGCACCTCACCCAGAATCTACCTCCAGCATCACATCCCGGAGATTGGAAGATGCTTGATTCTCCTTGTCCTAAGGGTAGATAGCAGCCAGCAGCAGAATAGATGGAAGGGACACTTAGTGTGGACTTTCCCTTACTACCACGGACCTACAGGGCTCTGCTCCAAGTACCCCCTTCATCCCCAGGGCCCCTCATGGGCTTGGAATATCTCTAAGTGTAGTGGATGTCTATCTGTGCTTGTCCTCCAACCAATTCCCTTTTCCTGGTAACGGGCTCAGTTTGGGGGGAGGGATGTCACGCTTCCCCACTCTCCTAACCTCCACTTCCATGATTGTGCATGTGACCCAGATGTGACCATCAGAGCCTTCCACCAGCTTGGCCACTGTGATTAGTTCATGATCCATGCTGGGGAGTGGAATCAGCCCTGGGACTTAGGTACTAGTAGGTCAGTGGCATTCTCCTTCTCCTGGGGTGGGTAAACCAGGAGAAAGTGTGTAGCTACTAGGGCAGCCATTTTGCTGAGAAGGAATCCACCTTGGGGAAGTAGTCAAGAGAGGGAGGGACTGAATTCAACAGCACCTGGACTTGTCAATTAAAAATAGCATCCCCTCTTTTGTGTAATTCAATTTGGGTCACCTGCCATCAAGATTCCCAAGTGATATACCTGGCTGAGGACCAGCTCACCTGAGACTTCTGGAGCAAGGAGCGTCTTTGGTGACCTGCTAAGTGTTTCCGATGGCTGAGACCCAACATGAGTATGTCCTGTGGAGAGAGAGAGTTGTGGGGTCCTGGGAGAACCAGTGACAGAGACACAGGTTGGGGAAGGGCCAAGATGGGGGGTGTCATAGAGATGTGATGCTGGGGGAAGAGAAGGATCTTGGGAAGAGACAAAGAGAGGAGCAGAGCCAAAGAACCCGAGAGGAGGAACATTATTCATTCATTCATTCAACTAATATTTAATGAGTGTCTATTACAGGCCAGGCAGTGTTCCAGGAGCTGGGGACACAGTGGCAATGGAAACAGGCAAAGTCCTGGTGTCCATGGGGCCTTTATTCTAGCAGGAGAGAGAGACCATAAATTAATACATGTATAATGTCAAGATGTGGTAAGTGCTGTTAGGAAATGGAGAAGATAAGGGAAATGTTTGGATGCCAGAGCAGGCCTCTCTGAAGAGGTGACATTTGTGGAGAGTGGGATGCAGTGAGGAGACGAGCTGGGCGTGCACCTTGCGACTGTGACACAGGAGTGCATTTGGAATGTTAAAGAAGAGCCAAACGGCAAGTGGCTGGAGCGGAGTAGCAGGTGGAGCAAGGGGGAGAATGAAAGGAAACAGACAGTGGAGAAAGAAAACCAGATAGAGGGAGAGAGAGGAAGATACAGAAACCAAAAGGGATGGGGGG